TTCCTGTCAGTGGGCAGCATGTCGCTGAAGCCGCTGTCCTAATGAAACATTGAGCAGATTCTGTACCTTCGAGTTCGTTTGTTGGCTTTCATGACTAATTCAGGACTGGCGGAAGCTGGTTATCCACCAGCTCGGGGTGATGGGGATTTCGATGAAGCAGGATCTGCTTCATTATTGATGCCTTTCTCAAGGTTATGCCTCCGTATTCCCTCGTAGCTCAGACGTGACGGGCTTGCGGTCGCTGTCCCTCTTTCTGAGACTGGCTACGATGAGGGCAGAGAGAGAGAAGCACTCGCACACGGCTGCGCTGGCTTCTAGCTTGTCCTGGGATAAGTGGTGAGTTTAACCGCTCTCCTCTCTGACTGGTTTTCACGTTACATTTGTCACTTACGCAAAAGTACACTTTTCATGCATGTTAAACGCTTCCCCACCTGCTACATGTATTGCGGCCATAAAGAAATACGTAATACAAAGATAAGCTATACAAAAAGATACATAAAAATGTGATTAAAATAAAGAAGTAGCAATATAAATAACATGGTAAAATGACACTAAAAATAAAATGTGACTATATTTTAAAAAGTAACTATATTTGCATAAGGCAGTAATCAGGGAGATGTAAAATTAAAAATGAATAATTGTATAAAGATTTATTATCAAATAATTATTGTACCATACAAAGAATTCTGGTACCAATATGGTACCATATTTATCACTCACTGTGAGAGTCAGTGTCACTGTCTGCAGATGCCTATGGCCAAATAGGTAGTTTGTCCTACAATGAGGTTCTGCTGGTTTATTTTTAGGAAATGACCTAATGTAAATTGCAGTCAATTTATGAGCTATATGAACTGTCATAACAAGTTGATAGACTGTGATTGATATCAAAATCAGGGACACACTGGGTATTAATCAATCCTTAGAATTCATTTGGGCTACATTTTTTACCTGAATGTGACTCAGATCTGATTTTTCTGGGCTGTGTGGACACACAAATCTTATTAAATCAGATTTGAGTCACTTTCATATCTGCTCCCATCTATATCCAATTCATGGTCACATGACATGAATGAGCAGGATGAAGCTGTAATTCATGTGTGTTTCTGCCTGTATGCTTGTACTGGACACCGCCGTCAGGCAGCATGTTTGTTGTTGTTGGTGATGCAGATGACTCGTGCAAAAGTGTATAAGTGTGTGCATGCATGCCGTTTCGGAGGACAGACGCGTTCATATTACAGTAAGATACAGGTCACTTCAAATTATGACGTGAAACTGTCAAGATAGGAAAATCTGATCAGAGCAAAAAATCTGAATTGGAAAATGAGGCTTGTAATGTGAATGTTGCGTTGGCATCCTCGTGTGTTGGTCATTTTCATGATCCTCTCCCCAGGCCTGAGGTGGGCGTGTCTCACTGTGAAGATTTAGCCAGGTTCTGGCTGGCCGAGGAGAGTCCTTGGGCCATCTGTGGAGAATCTGTGACGGTCTCTCCCTGCTCGCAGCAGGTAACACATGCGGACAGGACGGCCACGGCGCCTGGCCTTTGCATGAGAAATGGATTTTGGCGCTTTTGGGAACAAGGAACAGCGAGGCACTTGGATTTATTGATCTATTTTGGGAAGTTCCTACATGTGCTGTTCTCTTCTAACATCTGTAAGGCTGAAATGGAGGGCTCTCAAGATGACAGAGCCGACCCGAGAGCAAAGGCATTTATTATGCGTGATGCAGCCAATTTCCCCCCGAAGCCGTTAGGGAAGAATGCTCATGAGTCCACCTAACTTTTGATCTTCGTGATCTGCCAGCAGGCCGTGCTGCAGCATGTGTTGTCCTGCCATGAGAGAGAGAGGTGGTTCCTCGTGGAACTGCTCCACACGGTGACCTTGGAGGAGCTGACAGGAGAGGAGGAACCGCATTCGTCTGACGCAGGTCTCTGCAAACCCTCAGCAATGCCATTAATTGCCACTGCTTCGGGCTTTAGCTTATAGTGGGCCAAAATGGTAGCATACTGTAGAAATTTACTCCAAAAACCTCTAATGAAGGCTAAATATCTGTAAGCTCCTAAAGAATACAAATTTAGAACAGTTTAGACACCCTAACTCTTACTACACCAGTTCTAACCCTTATTTGTTTACCCATTGAAGCTGAACTTTGCAATTTACTGTTGGTGAATCTGTTTAAGAGAATGTTCTGGAAGGGCTGGCCATCCTAAGATTGGCGTGCATTACATGGCTGAGGAAGACGAGGGCTGTGCTGAAGGCTGAGTCCTGGGGTGACTCTGCACTGTGCTTACTCACTCACCTAATGGAGCTGCAGGAGGTGGAGGTCAGGGCCGTGCTGTGGGGGCTGCTGCACACCGTGAGTCACCACGATGCTCTGAGAGGTTCCTGCGGCTGGGCGTGACTCACCTTCCATAAGGACTTCAGGAGTATAATAAGGCTTTCGTTTGGTATTGATCTTATCTCCAATGTAGCACACGAGTTTAGACAGTGAAGTTGTATTTTCCCCCACAGGTTTTGAATAATGACCAGGAGGTTGACAGTATTCAAAAAGAGTTTGCATTTTGAGTGCGGGAGCCTTGTAACTTCCTCAAGGTTGCTAACAGAATGTAGAACTGGGTACCACTTTACAATAAGGCTCCCTTTGCCATTTGTAAATGGTAGTAACTCATTAATAAAAAGAAAACTGTGTTATAACTTGTTAAAAATTGTCTATTAATAATTTACAAAGTGTTACAACATAATGAATAACCAGATTATAAACCATTCATAAACCCTTTATATGGGTAGCCTTATTGAAAAGTGGCACCTAGAATTGTTTAGGGCCAGAAAATAAAAATCAATAATCAAGAAATGGAACCAGGCAGGAGGAATCGTGACATTTTAAAACGGGAAAGGAAACAGCTGCACTTTTACAGCCCATATGTTTGCTCAGGTTTCTGTGTTTACTGTGTTTGTTCATTGTGTTTATTTGTGTATTTTCCTTTTACAGGGTCTTTAAAAGTTTTATTTTTAGTAGAGCCTATTGCTTTTAAAATTTTGCATGTCCAGCTGGCTTCTACCCCTACTGTACATCTCCACCCTCAGCATTTCTGGAAATTAACATTCTTCTCCACTGTCGTACCAGGACAAGGACATTTTTCAAAGTCTTCGAGAGAAATATAGAGTTGAATTACAGGACCGAAAACTGACAAATCTGCATCAACTTCTGCTCCCTGACTGCTGGACGCCTCTCAGCGGGTCACGCTCAGCATCCGGGGCAAGCCAGTCTCAGTATTGTTGATGGGTATCAGTTGATGGCTCTTCTGAATAAACATCATAGGTGTTTGCGCTGAATGCCACTTAAGTGTTTGCTCACGTTAGGTCACAGGAAGTACGGCTTTTCGACCTGAACTCCACAAAGGTGAAGACCAAGAGCATCTTCCAGGACGTGGAGAATGCAGACAGGGTGCCCCCCTTGCCAGCGCTGGGAGAGGCGACGTTTGTGACGGTGACGGGCTTCACTTAAGTTTTCTCCGCATTTTCTAGAGATGCAGTAATGTGCAAATGCCTTAGGCAGTCAAAGAAAATTAAGCTGCTGACAGAATGTCTAATGCTTACTGTACTTCTGTAAAAACATTGCAGATTTACTGGTTTCATCACAAAAGTCCATTGACAGTTTAACATATCAGCGCATATCTTCCAAACAGACAGTTTCTTTGCATTAAGTGTGATATTTTTTTGACTGACTCAATCAGTTCTATACTTGCCATTTTGCTATCAATTGCCACTGTAGTTACTGGCTTTCAAAAGGATTCTATTCACAAATGTTTGGTGTACTATAATTGGTGGACAATAATTTGGGTTTCAATTTATTAGTACTTGAAATTAATGTTTTACTTAAAACCACTGAGTGTTTATAATGTGAAACATATATTTTAAGTATTCTTATTAAGTATTAAGTATTGTATTATTATTTTGTATTAAGTAATTATTTTTGTTACTGAACTAATACATTTGCAATATTTTTTACAATTAAGCAAATTAAGCAAACATCTTAAGGTTTTCTGTGAGCACTCTATGTTTAAATCTTCCTAAATGATCTTTAAATGTATGTGTGTCAAAGCATGTCAGCTTAGCCATTTGAAAACATCGCCAAAAGCCACCCCAGTGTTTGCAGTAACCACCTAATGCAGCCATGTTTTCTTGAATTATCCACTAGCACACCATGTTTGGCTAATCAATACCTCATCCAGTTATATACCTAAATTAATGAATTAATTGAGCTGGCGGAGAAATCTAACAAATACATGGAATTACTGAGGTGCCCCTGAGGAGAGGTTTGGGAACTGAAACAGTGTTTTTCTAGCTGTCCAACAAGATATCAGTAACTTTTTGGAGAACAGCAGAAATTCCTGTTAGTTTTGCTGTTAATTTGCATATGTTGTAAAGTTAAATAGTATTTTTTCTGATCAAATATACAATTGCTACCCAGATAAATAGCTTTAATCATTTTCTTTCACTGCCTAAAACTTCTGCACAGTCCTGTATATTTTTAAAAGCACACCAGGCCTAACAGAAGCACTGTAACAGAGATTGTTTACCTTCTGCCCCATAGCATGTGGAAATACCCTAATTCCAGAAGAAGTTCCCTATCTGGAGGTACTATGTGCAACCAACACTAATTCAGGGTCAGCAGGAGGGACAGACAGCGATGACGTAATAGCCAGCAGATGCCCCATCACCACAGACTTGGAAAAACAGGGCTCTGTGATCGCAGTGGCCTGGAGCCGGCCTGCCGAGAAGACCTGCAAACCCGAGGCAGGCCCAGACTAAATTAATGGGGCGCGATGCGGCCATTTCACCGCCTCTTGCCTGTTTTCAGCTGGTAACGATGGTGTGACTTGTTTCACAGACACCTGACGAAGCAGCAGTGGAAAGCGAGACAGGGACTCATCTAAAAGATGAGGTTCGAAATGACCTCCCGACACATGAGGCACCTGAGGGCAGGCCTGGGGAAGAGACACCACACCCCACGCTCTTCCAGTACAGTCCACATGCCGGATGCCTTCAAAAGCAAACTGTAGAGGCTGATGGAGCCATAGTAAGCAAATGATAAACTCATAATAATGAGCTCTGCTGTACACATTGTTTTTAATGTTTTACTGTACATAGCTTTTAGCTATATCCATTTATATGTATGATTTATAACCCATTTAGCATTTAGTGCTAAACTGTGTACATAAAGGAATATATAAGACAGTAGATCTATGTAAATAAAAAGCTGTAATTCACCATCATCAATGACATTAATCGGGATTGGAAACAGAATCTTCTGCGTGTCAGTAGTTAACCATATCATGCATAAATAATGGGAATTCTCATACTCTACAGCCTGCAGAGACACTGATGTCTCATGAAAGTGAGATTACACACGACACTGATGACAACAACGATGATGATGGTCAAACTACCGAAGAAGGTTCCTGTTCATCTCGCACTCAGTCTGCTGCGGGCAGACATGCACAGCAGCCCAGCGCCCACCTGCAACAGGTTATCGATGACAGCGTGAGGGTCTGGCTAACATGCTGCTTTGACGGTCACCGGTAGAACGTCTCGCTTGTTCGTGACTGTCCCGTGTGGTTTACCTGCAGGACTGCATTCAGAGAGAGACGACAGTGGTGCACATCTCTGAGATGGAGAAAGAGACGACCATGAAAACCCTTGTAGACATCAAGCGGAAGGTTGAGAGCAAGTATCAGCAGGACAAGCAAAGACAGATTCTTAGGGTAAGTTTATCATTGGATGGTTGCACTCTTTGGACACTCTGCTCTTTGTCACTGATTACATGATGTCCCCTGCACCCCCTTTCAGTTTCAGGAACGCTTGTCCATAGTCCAGAACAGAAAGTCTGATGAAGACCTTCTGGGTCACAAACAAGGGGACGATCTCAGGCAGCTCACCGAGAAGCTCAAAAAGGCGAGTTCCACCCGTCCAGTCTTGCTCAGCAGTGCAGATATTGGCCTATAGAGGGCGTGAGCGAGCTGTGAAGGCCACAGCACTGTAGAGGTCTACAGAGACGTGGGGCGGATTTTTTTGGGGAGGGGTTGTGAACTGACGTAGGCCTCTGTGATTCAGGAGGATAGAAACCAGCAGAAAACGCTGGTTAAGGAAAAACTGGAAGAGCTGAGGCGAGAGCGGTCGTACATCATGCAGTCTAAGAGAGACAGGTAACGTGACATTTCTCACCATGGCAAAATGTCCACCAAATCCAAACTTTGACCCACCCACTTAATAAAATAAGCATCTTTTTAAATGCAGGTGGCCAAAGTTTTCATTTGGTCTAGGAATTAGTCCACAAAGAAAAGAACGCAGCTTCAGCTTGTGCAACGAGTCGTGGGAATGTTCCTATAACGTCGCAGAAGGCAACATTCAGCTCATGCATGTTTTTACGGCTACTTCATGAGATCGAAGTGTGAATGGGTGTCCACATCTGTCTCCCCAGAAACACAGCTGGATTTAAGGAACTCCTTGGGCCAGTGGGCATGAAAAGAGCAGAGCATGAAGAATCCTATCCTGTGTAACAAGAACGCCGCATTTAAAGATGATTAGGGCTTCTTGACGCACGATTAGTTACCATAATAAATTAAACACAAAACAACATCAGTCCCGTATATTTTTTTAATATTCACGTTTGGCACCGTAAATCTTTTCATACAGTTACATACTGCTGTGTTCTTTATTTAGTTGCACCTTTTCTTGGAAACATACAAAAACTTACAGCACCTGAGCTCAGACCAGCACTGGAAAATTAGTCTGAATGTCAAGAAGATCAAAGGAAATCAAAATAACATACTATAATTCAAATACATTTTAAAAACTGGCAATAATTTAATAACTGATTGTAAATATAATAATGGGGTTATTGATGCTACTGAAAAGACTGTCTGTCGTCAAACATAAAGGCAGGTTTGTACCTATTTATAGTGGGTTAAAAGCATAGCCAAATAACCATTGGTAATCCACGCTTTAATGTAATGTAATTACTCTTAGTACTCTTCTAACCAAACCTATAAAACTTGTAATGTCACCATAATCTTCAAAGTATTCCTGTAATCCTTAATTTTTTTACCAAAACCATATCACTACAGATATTAAGAAAAACAATTTCTTTGGATAATACATAGCAAAATAGCACCATGTTTTATACAATTATAATAACATTCACATTTCAAGTCAAGAATTTTTTACTTAAAAACACATTATGTTATATAAGTATGGTTCTACAAAAAAGACACACAGTGCATCAAGTACTTAAAAATATTCTGATACAGACCTCCAGTAGAATTACCCATCAGTTAATAATAATTGCTGGTTAAATTTAGCTGCTCAGATTTCACAGGTTGGTTTCTTAAAGGAGAATTCCACCAGACTTGATTTATCATTCTTCAGAATTAATATTATGATGTAATTATTTTCCCCCTGCTATGTGGATGTTTGGCCTCTAGGTGGCAGTTTTAGACAATCTCCAATTTATCCTCTTTTAATCTTCATTCCCATGAATCTTGGAACATTTTAAAATGTGACAATTTTACAAATAAAACTACAACTGCTTGAAATTTCTAGGAAAAAAAAAACAGGACTTTTTCCATTGAGTATTCCAAGTGTTCTGGTGAGCTTGCTATGTAAGCAGCGGAGGTGTTTATCACCACTCACACCAAGCATTTCTGTGGGGCCCCTGAAATTGGGGGCCTCTGTTGGTCACAAAAAGTCACTACAATGGTGGAGGATGGTGACTTATTGAGTGGGACCAAAAAACACAACCCAGCCCCTGTGTGCGTGACAGTGTACGGCCAGGCCAGGTTCTGAATAAAATTTAAAAACGAAAGATCCATTTTTGGGTGGAATTCTCCTTTAAATTAATATAGCTGCTTTACCTGTTAAGAACACTTAAAACCATAACAGACTTTGGTTCTAGCTAAAGGCTACCTGGATTTGTGAAAAGGATTATGCACATTAGAAGGCATGACGTTATCAGTACATGGAAGGGAACCGTTTAGAGACAGCGCAGCGGTACTGAAAAGGCTCAGATGGTTTCAGTAGTTAAAGAAAGGAGAGCTATTCTCTGTGGTTAGAGGTCACTGTGCTGACGGCTCTCGTTCTCTGCAGTAATGTAACAGCATCAACTCTGTACAGCTGCCTATGCTGAATGCATCTACAGTATAACATTACAGAATAAATATGGTCAAACATAAATATTTAAAAGTGTCATAAAGTACATTTTCTGTTCTATTTACATGCTTGTGAGTTAGAGGTAGGATTGGCGTGCACCTGCTGTCAAGCTACGCAGCTAGGACTACCCCGAGTTATCCTGACGGAAGAGTAAGTCATTCTCCATATCGGTGAACTCGCTTCAGTCTTTCCTGAAGAACTTGGTCAGTTCCTTCTTTCTGAGAATTCCTACTTGTCTCTCTTAAGCGGCTGTAAGGATTTTGATAGCCGAGGACAGGATTTCGCATTGATGGTCTATAGCTTTGCATTCTAAACTGTTTCAGCCTTTGAAACAAGGCCAAGTCCCATTTGCTGTTAGTCTGAAAACTAGCATAATACAGGCGACCGTGATCACGTGACACTTTCGGTTATGTTAACCTGGGCACATGATCTCCTACAGTCAAGGTGAGCATTTTGTTATTGGTAAATCAGAGAAAAACACACTGAGGCTTTTCTAAACTAATGCATACTATTCAGTGTCAATAAAAAGAAATTTAACAGAGCTCCAGTGTATAAGAGTTTTCAAAGCTTTGAATGACTAAAATTCTTATTTTTTGTTTTATCGAATGTCAAACATACACATGACCTCTGAAGCTGAAAGGTCACTCGACACAGTAAGACAGCTTTGCAACATGGCCTCAGTGTTTCCCTTTCGTCAAAGGAAAAGAAAGACACGAATATATAAGATACAATGAAACACACAGCGGCGTTAAAGGCCCCCGGTCTGCTTTCGATATTCTGATGCACGAATACATTTGGTACGCATCACACTTGTTGAAAGGCAGGTCGGTGATTCTGGCAGATAGCTGGGTCTGACCTGTGCTCTCCTGTCGGGCTTAGCTGCCAGAAATGGTCCCGCGGTCACGGGTACGAGAGCGAGCGGTGTTCCCGGAAGAGTCTCGCAGCCGTGTCTTGCTCGGGTGACGCTAGTCTGTCCCTTAGCGGACTTGCACGGGGAGGCCAGATTGCGACTGAGGGACGCATTTCCCGCAAAATCCTCCACAGCGTCCGTAAATCCTCACCCCGTCCTGCATGAGCGAGAAGGCAGGAGTTATGAGGGAGGGGGGGTGGAAATCTACATGTGAAGGAACTGACTGGTGCTGAAATCCTGCACTGGGAACCAGGTGATGTATAGAATGATCCCAGCAGGAATACAGCTGGCCACCAGAGGGCGCAGCTTCTCAGTGTTACACAGGTAGCATAGAGGTTCAAAATATGGCCCTGGAATCTGAATGAGTTCGGATCCTCTGAAGGACTCTGCTTAAGCAGAAACACCTATTCAGTAAAACATCTGGATGTTAAGAAAGGCACACATTTCTTGGGATAAAAGAATATGTATTGCTGCCCTAGAAAGTCAAACATGTTGGTGTCTGATCTACAGCTCAACACACTTTATCACTCTGAGAAATGATTCCTCACTCCGCAGTATAACGCAGCTCAGACTATATCTCATTACTGGGAGCGGCCAGCCTGCTCACCTCAGACCTGTGCACCTTGGCGGTGGCGTAATTACCCCTGGAGGCCCACTTGGCCTCCTCCGCAATCTTCAGGCCGGTACCCGTGAGGTTGATGCTGAACTGACCCTGAGATAACAGACTTCAGTTAACTCCGGACAACCGGAAACCACATCTCCACTTCCCATACAGAGGGCACTCTGAAATACAGCATTACTACACAATAAAATGTCACATTAACATTTGAAAGATTTTCTGGGACATGAAATTGGAGTTTTGTCTATTAAACAACTAAAATCCAGTATTATTATCACCAAGTATTGTTGATGAAGGATTTTAGTTTTAGAATTACATAATTTTCCAGTGAATATTTTTGTCCAGTTAATAATAAAAAAAAATTATTCAGAAATAAAAGGTAGTTGGTGTTCTACCTGTGGACACTTGGTGGCGCTGTAGCAGTCTCCTGCGGTGCCAAAAGGCACAGAGTGGCCTAGTGGGGTCTGGGAGAATCGCAGGTCCGTGGCTGCAACAGAGCGACAGACAGACGTGTGGAGGACCGCTCATAACGCAGAGGGTGCTGGAGATTATGGACATGATCTCACGACCAGGATTTCACATCCCATAAGGACCCTGCTCTTGTATTACTGAACAAGATACTTAACCTGAATTTCCCCAGGAAAATATCCACCTGCAAATGGCTATGGCTACACCCTTTACCTGTGCAACAAAACATGAGAGATTTTACTGTTGCTCAGGAAACGTAGCCCAAAACAAAACAGGATGGTAAATCTTTCACTTGGAATCACTCCAGCCTGTGCTGAGAAGCATCTTGAGCTGGTTACGCTCAGCTGTGCTGGCGGCGCAGGGCCCTCCATGTCTGGGGAGGCAGTTGACAGCAGCCCCCAGGGCCGGCCGCGTGAGTGAAGGGGCCAGCTGTTCCCAGGGACTGGGCTCTGCTGGCCTGGACGAGAGCCCCCACCCTGATCAGCATCTCCTTCCCGACTGGATGGGCACTGAAGATTTCCAGCACACATGCGGAATAATCTAAAGCATCCCGGGACAGAGAGGCTGGCTATCACGATCGGCCAGGGATAAAATGAGCCACCCTTTTCTGAAGATGGACACCTTTGCTCAATCTCTTTCTGAATAACGAGTCATCGGCAATTTACCTGGAGCTCCTGGTGCATTCTGGGAGATTAACACTACAACCGCCGTTTCCCATGCCAGCGATCGCCAAACTCCTTAAACCGCCAAGCAAGATATACTTCGCCGCACGCAGCCCTTTCTTTGTGCTAATGTGCCATTAGTGTTAATAACGCAGCGAATCTAACACCCTGAACCAAAACGCCGTAATGTTCCTAAGAGAGCAGCTGCTCTGTCACAGTAGCAAATGTAACACCGTGAACCAAAAAGCCACAATGTTTCTGAAAGAGTGGCTGCTCTGTGGTGAAATCATAAAGCTGGAAACTTTTCAAACACGATGAGCATTTTATAAAATGTTGGGTAAATTAACGCAGTTTATGGGTGATTTCATGTTTGTCAAAGTTTTCGCTTTTTAACAACTGTATGAAGTGATGCTTTTTATACAAATCAACATTTAATTAAAAGACATACCTGGTGATTCTCCAGGGGGGCCGTGCTCAGGGACCGAGTGAATATATGGCTATTCTGTGGAGGATGGGATTTGAAGCGGCGGGCTTCTTGTCAAAGGCACAGACGCCTAATCTGCGGAACCACACACCCTACCAATCCAAAGATAAACTGGACCACAGGGACGCACCGGAGGATGGACAGAAGGGAACGACTCACTGATTATCCGCATGGCGCTGAGGTCCAGCCGGACCTTGTGAAAAATGGTGTAGCCAGCGGCTGGATAGTCATTGCTGCAAACGCAGTCCCTCCTTCTGCTGCCATTGAATGGACATTCGAATGGGTTCTGTAACCTAGTGACAGAGAACCTATTAGGCATGTCACATGACAGGTCATGCGCTGCTTGAAAGACACGGCTTTTCATACGTGTTGGGTTACAGTTAACAATACAGCGTCAATATGGCCTAAATGCTAAATGTATTTATACTTTATTTAGCAGATGGGTTTTATCCAAAGCAACATATAATCGAGAAAGCAGGGTCAACCAGTCTGTGGAGTGACTGGGGGTGAATGACCTGGCTCACGGGCCCCAACCCTGGGATTTGAACCAGTGACCTTCTGATCACAGGCACAGCAACCTAACCAACAGAGTCACACACCCCAGAGGAAAACACATACCTGTACCCATAAACCTCTGAGAAGTTGTCCATCTGACCACTGCGCAAGGTGATGTACTCCTTGGGAACCTGGGACTGCATCTCTGCACAGTAGATCTGAAGGACGGACCGATACACAGTTGGCAAAGGACCAAATCGAATGTCAGATGGTGACAGGCGACACTTGGCTGTCTCACGGCTCAAACTCGCCTACCTGGAGAATCCTCGAGCTGACTCTGAGATAGTACTCGCCGTCGTTCTTCATGCTGGTTTTCTGCTGAACCTCTTTGCAGCTGGTAAGCACTTCACCTGGAATAAAGAAAACAACGTATCTTCCGACGGCTACAAGAATGCTGTCGTTCCTCGCCACCAGGGGGCAGAAGCAGCCGCACACTTCCTGCCAAGGAGCTAAAGGCCTTGTTACTGAAGCTGGACTGGCATTAACTGACGAGCCAGTAATCTGCTGCAAAAGCAGCATCATGGCGTGTGTGAACATGTGAGCACAAGCTGTTGGATCGTGAACAAGATCCCTGTTGAGTGTTGAATTCATCACAAACACCAAAAATCCCAAAAATATCTCATCAAAAGGATCAGGCTGAACCTGGATTTTAAATAATTCCTTTTGGAAAGAAGAAACATTTATTTCAAGATGCACAATTCACATTAAATCACATGACTTCATATTATTAAGTCCAACGATTTTCAGTGAAATTTAAGCTTTAATGGAACTTAACGATACATTTTTTAAGCACAGGCCTGCAGCATCAGTTAAGAGAGATATTTTCCAGCAGGGTTACTGCTTCACTTCAAAGGGGGTGGGGGGGATACGGGACGTACATTGTCTCTCATGACAAGGGGCCTTGGGTTTGGGCATCTCCGCTGGATTGCAGCTCCGGGCCGGGAGGGCATTCCCAGTGAGACACGCTACCCGCCTCTGCCTCACGCCGGCCCCACAGCTCTGGGAGCACTGGGAGAGCAGGAGAGGGACGGATAAAAGGCCCGGACCAACAACCACCAAGCTGGGAAACGTGGACACACACACACACACACACACACAACACAAACGCATGCCCGCATACACACACACACGCCACATACAGATGCACACACACACACACACACACACACACACACACACACCTCACTCCAAGGGCCAACTTCCCACGAGGCAAAAGCGGGGCACTCCGCCAATAGGCAGGGCTGTGTATCGCCAGGGTGGGGCCGAGGGCAGCTGGGGTGAAGTGGGGGCTGGACTGCATGCGAGGGGGGGTCCTCTGAAGAGTGCACCTTGGAGCAGATGACCATTCGCTGCTGGATGCCGGGGCCGCAGCTGGCTGAACACTACCAAAGACAAACACATGTTACTGGAAGAGTGCCCTCTGGTGGCCTGGAACTCAAGGTGCGCCTGACTGAAAGCTTCAAGAAACAGGAAACACAGCCAGTAGCTAAAGCAGCAAGTTCCCTTCCACGAGCAGGTCCAACGCATAGATGCTGCTCAGCAAGCCACTGCTGATCCATGAGGAATGAAGAAAAGCTTCAGTTACAGTAAATATCTGAAGTTATTGAACGCTGCAGAATATTGTCTGTATAATGGGGTTGCAGGCTCCAAGACCCCCCCCAGGGGAACTGGGGGCATAATGGAAGAATATGTTGTTTTTGTGTTTACTGTAGCTTGAGTCAGTAGCCGTAAAAGCCCATGTGACACCCAAGGTGAGATTCACCACTAGCGCCCCCTGTCTGTGACAAAGTGAAATTGGCTTGTTAAGTCAGCGCGCCCTGAGAAGATGGCATTGGAAGTGGCCGCCTATCTCGCCTAATGGCTTGACTGGCACAGTATAAATAGTCAAATCGCTCTGGGAAAGTGCAGGACCCACCTCAGACCAGTCTCCTGTCCTCCACGTGTACTGGCAAGGTTCCCGCTGGCAGAGCTGGTGCTGCACGGGTTTGGAACCCAGGTCACAGAGGCTGTAGTGAGCAGACCTCCCAGCCTGGTCTATACACAGCACCTCCCTGCTCGTTGAACCCAAGCCACAGGTGACATTGCACTGCAGGGACGAGAGAACAGGAGGCATTATCGTAGGGTTAAATCACCCACGTGCACAGAAATTCACCCTCCCCCACAGTGACACTGGAGGTCACATGGGTGCCTGATAAGACACACCCCCACCTACTAACTTACAACAAAATACCGAGATGCAACACCATTATACGTTTAAAAATGCAGAACCAGGAACCGGCTAGAGGGGGCAGTGTTGCACCACAGCCAGCCAATCCCTCATGTAGCTCTGCTACCTCCTGTTACACGCCTGAGAGCGATACTGCTGGATATCAGCAGAACTCAACACGCCCCGGACTCAGACCATGCAGGCAAACTCCCAAATACAGGATTCAAAGGGAAGTGAGTAGAAAAGAAATACTGTCTTCTTTTCATGTCTTGCATCAGTTCTGTGGAAACCGTTTCCACCCAGCATTTCAGGCACAAGATGAAAATCAAAAACTGACACCAGACCTCACCGTCGCACACTGATGACATCATAAAAACCTCAAGCACCTCAGCAAACCAAAACACCGTCAAACGTTCTAGTTAAATCCCCTGAACCTGTCATTAACAGCACACTCGCATGCGTCTGTTGGAGTTTAAAGGGCCTTTTTTGTTGTGGTTCGTTGGAAGGTAAAACACCTGCTAAGATGACAGCACTCGATGGCATGTTGAGTGCTTGGACCATATTAGGCTTTTTGTGCTTTGAAGGGCGGATTTTCCCCTACATTGGGTCACAGTGTATTTCAGGAATTCTGGGAGCATCTGCTTGGCAGAGTTTTGCAGGAAAGCATGGCTAAGCCCTGCAGATGGAGACCTACTCTCCTGAAGATCCGCTACCATTTGAAGCCAGGAGGGGGCAGAGTGAACAAAACAATCCACATGTGGGCCGGGCCCTACTCACCTCCTGCCACTCGTGGACCACCCAGGTGTGGTGAGGGCAGCCTGAGCTGAGGCACGGCTGGGTGCTGGGGGGCCTTGTTAGAGGGTCACACAGATCTTCCTGGACACGTCCTGTGCCCCTCAGCCTGCAGTAGACCTCCCGGGCCTGGAGCCCTGCTCCACAGCTCACAGAACACTGAGAACCGAACATAAGGAAATGGGTCAATTCTACCACTCAATACATGTAGGACGGAGCCTGGCTTCTGATTGGCTGAGATGGCCGTACATTTTCATTGGCTGAGATGACCACACTACGGACACTGGCATGAATTAGAAAGAAATCCTACTTTTGCCATATCACTAACTAATCTCATCTAGCTGGCCAGTTGGCTCCTGTTAATGTACCAAATGCTTTGATGCATTCACATACCAGGAACTTCTTAAGAGATAAAGTTCACTTAAGATCTAGACCACGGGGAGGGGAAAAAAAAATTATCAAGTGGTTCATCTTTTTGAACATCTTTCAATTTACCCATCATGATAAAGTAGTCACGTTTAAACCATGACAACAAAGGATTTCAGTGTGAAATTCGTGCCCGACGTGTGAAGAGTCTGTGAGGGAGACTGCGGCATCACGGCACACACTGTACATCTGCTACTTCACAGGTGGATTTTCTTCTTCTTCCCTTATTTTTTTTTTGTACTACTAAGAGAAGCGGATGTTATCTGACCTCGAGCCGAAACCTACACAAAAAGAGGAGACGAATGTGCAGAAACAGCTTGTCTTTTATCTTCATGCGGCACGCAGAGACTTGGCAGAATTTCTAGAATGGAGCGAACTGCAATATAAGCCCAGGAAGGTCTTGAAGTTCTTTTTTTTTTAATTGGGGCGTCAGATCTCTCTACCGCTCATCATACCGGCCACATATGCGTGAGCTGTGAAAGCAAGGAGCCCGATGCATGTGGTTTTATGCGAGAAGCTCTCAGCCCCGGGGTGTGGAGAAGCCGGGCGTGTGTGGCTGGCTAACTGGGAAGAGGCTTGCGAAACAGTCACTGACATGAGGCTCTCCCATGCTGGGTGGACAGTGACCTTAAGGAAAAGGCAACTTTGACTGTCACTGTACTTGTCAAGTCAAACTTTACTGCCATTCGATGAAACAAAACAGCGTTTGCCCGAGACTTTAAATCGTCCTCCACACTCTGCATATGCGTACACAGAAATGTGTTCTCTGCTCAAGCCGCATATTTGCTCATGCGCACGTGTTCTATTTATATATATTTTTTTTGTATTATTAATAATAAAATAATAATATATATTATTATTCTGATATTTCCTGTACACGTACCACAGCTGTGATGTTTGTGTCTGTTTCTCTGTGTTCAGAGAGGCAGCTCACCGGGTTGCCAAATTTGGTCAGCTGGCTGAAGTGAGACTTCCAATTCCAGTTAAGTCCGCACTCACATACACATGTATTTGCATGTATGTAATAGTTTTATTACCTTGCAAATAGTCTGTAGGGTTTGCAAACTGCCCCAGCGCTCGTCGAAAGCATCCATGCTGATGTTTAAAGAGGACGCTGGTGAATTGATCATGCCCAGTGTGACCATAGCTGCACGAACACAAATATGGAGTGTAGCAGGCGTTCATTTGCGGAGGTGCACAATTACTTCAAACATGTCATAGACATTTCAGCGTACACGTCCGGTAGTATGTGTGCGGAGAAGTATGAACCAGCCTTTACACATCAGACAACACAAAACACATGAGAGACAGACAGACAGACAGACAGACAGATAGTGGGTTTGACTGTAACCAGCTTACAGTGGAAGAGCAGTGGTTTAAAAAGCCTGTGCAAGGCAGTTATTCCATTTGTTATGTGCAGGTGATGCACAGAGCGATCGGTGCAGATGGAATTAAACCGTTATGAAAAGTCATTCACTGGAATTCCAAACAGGGCTGCATTGTTAGCGCAGTGCTCTTGTTGAACTACAGGATCACTCCAGCATCAGTAGCTGCAGCAGGTCTATCTGTGAGCACAGAACTGAAGGTACAGCATCAGTAGCTGCAGCAGGTCCATCTGTGAGCACAGAACTGAAGGTACAGCATCAGTAGCTGCAGCAGGTCCATCTGTGAGCACAGAACTGAAGGTACAGCATCAGTAGCTGCAGCAGGTCCATCTGTGAGCATAGAACTCAAGATAGGATCCTTGTGACACTGAAAGGCCTACAAGCTGATCTGACCCCCCCACCCACGCATGTCCCTCTACCCTGTACGCCCCCCTTCCTGGGCGGACAGGGGAGGGGCTCCCAATTTGCTGAGACTCCAAGTTATGAGGTTCCTGCAGTTGTCAGGATGTTGGGATGTAAAACATGCCTTCACGCTCCAGTCATGGATTTCATGGATTATACTGGTATGCAGGGTGGGCCGATTGTTTCCAGACCCCGGCTGGGCCCCTCCCTGGACGTGCAAAGCCACAGTGGGCCAAGGGGAGAACCGAGATGGCAAGATTTCTGCATCCAGTGGAACTTCATATTAAACTCCGATATTCATTGCGGTTGCAGTTTTATGATGATAGTTAAAGCCATGTGTGTTGCCACAAGGGATTGGCTCTTACAGTATTATTGCAAATCAGTAGGACCTCCTGTCCAGGGACTGCAACGGTGAAGCACTTCATGATCTATGGCTATTTGAGCCCCACCGCTGCTGTTGGGTCAGTAGGGGGTGCTGTGTTGGCACAGTGACCTTTAACCCCCAATTGCACCCGGGACTGTCTGATCCTGCTTTCTAAAAAAAAACAAACATACAGGACTGTGCAAAAGCCTTAGTCAGTCAAACAAAATGTTTCAGGGTATTTATAGAGTATGCATTTGCTCAGAAAAAAACACAATTAACTCATTTAATTAGTTAAATAACCCAATGAGGTACTGTAAATGGTGTGTGTGCTCTGTGATGGGCTGGTGCCTCATCTTGGGTTGTTCCCTGCCTTGTGCCCGTAGCTTCGGTGATAGGCTCCACAGCTCCACAACAAGGCATAAAACAAGTGGTTACAAATGATGGATGGATGGAAGTCAATGAGGTACTGAGTGAGGTAGTGGTAGAGTCAAAAACACACGGGTGAATTGAGTGGCTGCTGCAAATACTGGAGTGACTTCAGGAGAGATTCTGCTCAGAGCCTAAGATCTTCAGGGGTCACCTCAACAACAAGCATGTGCTGGTCACGACGGCTTCTTCAAACAGCAAAACATGCCTGTCGTTCAGTTACCAAGCTATAAGGACATCAGTTAAAGGCGCTTCAGTTAGCATAAAGCACCAAACGGCTTCTACGTACCACAGCCCAGCGGTTGGCCTTCCAGCTGGGGCACCTCTGTGCCCGGCAGGCCTTCTGGGTGCGAGGGCGCGGCTGATGGGCGCACCGCTCTGCCGGCACCTCCGTCTGCCTCTCGTCCAGGCAGGCCACGTCACGCTGCTTGGTCCCTCTGCCGCAGCTCGCAGAGCACTGCGGGTGGCAGGGATCACAAAACCGGAACGTTCATTCCAATTCCCAGACCTCCCCAAGCAGCCTGTCCAAATTAAGCATGGCACAGAAATACGATGAATAAAAAATGTATCATTTTAATACTGCTGGCCATACTAGTAACTGCTTGTGATTTATGGGTTTGGAGATTTTCAACCAGCTCCCCAGAGGTGGGGGCCAACAGATCTGCCTTCTGAGATGGGAGGCTTTGTATATCTTCACCATGAATACAGTGATGACGAACGGGATGAATCAGGTTTTCTGATTCCTGTGATTCTAATTTCCCGTTTGTTTATATGATGTATGTTGTGTGTGAAGGTGGCACAAACATATTTGTGTTGTATCTGGATGTCATTACACTAATCCAGTGTAAGTACGCTTTGTTAGATTTGGCGCCGTGCAGTGGGGATGCCCTGCATGACACCTGCTGAATCACCGTCGGCCGTCCTGCAGCATGTGGTCATGAGTGTGGCTATTTGAAACTTGGAAGCACATATTGTCACTGGCCATCTTAAGAAGGCGTGCAGTTGTGTGTTCGGAGACCCAACTGGATTATTGTAACTGGATTGTTAATTTACAAATTCAATAACTCTTCATAAAATCTTTATAAGGCTTTTCTATTATTGTCCCCAGTCTTAATACATTTCACAAATAAATATATAACTTGGGCTTTCATTATTGCTATAACAATCACCAGCATATACACAAAAACAATCATCAGTATATAAACAGAAGGTGTAAAATACATGCAATCCTGTTAAGCGACGAGGAAGCAGTATTGTGTATGTTTAGCACAGAACAGCCCGTCTGCAGTAACCTATCGATCCCATTAAGAGACCCAGTGAGCAAGTTTAGGAAACCCCCTCTATGAAAGATGAAAAATACCTTCGCACAGAATCTGGTTTCAATAAATGCAAAAGCTTCTTCTGATTCCTTCACACGGGGTGCAGAGAGCATGTCAGACAACATATCGAGATTCCCACTCTCCTGGTCTCTCCAAAATCTACATACTAACTGCATCAGAACACAGTGTTATAAAACCCCAGCAATTTGTATGCTCAGAGCCCAATTTAGTTTCTGTATTTTTGAACCAAGATGATAAAAATAATATATCGTCGTTCCACCGAAATGCTGTCCAGATGTGGCAAGAACATGAAGAAATGCTTCTGCTCTCATTCCATACAGAACTGCTTTGACTGGATTGCCGACAGATTTTATTGCACGTAAACTATCATCTCTATGTAAAATCTCAGGCTAAAATGCAATATAAAAGGTCCGTGTAGAAGCAGCCCAGGTGAAACACTGATTTGGTTGAGCAACAGATGGTGTAGCCAACATTAAGATTTTTAATTTGAAATGTTTGTTTTCCTGTTTTGACAAGCGAATGGCTGAAAATGAGTGCCGATTAATAGCCCCCCCCCAGGGGCCCCAATCAGCTTCCCCGGGAAGGGCCCCCAGAGTTTCCTGCCACGCAGCCGCTGGTGCTTTGGGGGTCCGCTGTGTGTCTCGTGGAGGCAGTAATTATGCAGGCATCTTAAACACACCCCATAGTCGGCATGTTTTTAACATCAAAGCGACCCTGAGAGACTGATCCAGGACCAGATAAGCAGAGTATCCTTCAGTAAGGCTGACGATAAGGCTTCACTCCCGATGTGTCAGGCGGACAAGAAACACGAAGCCTCCGTACAGATGGTTTGGGGGGGGGGCAAACAAATTGTGGCCATATGACTGGCATGCGTTCCACAGGCTAAAATCAGCAAATCAGCAGGGGGCGGGGAGGGGTTCTCTAGGAAGGCCACCCTCCCCCCAGCCAGTCCACGATCTCCTCCTGTCAGATGTTCCTCGGCCAGGGCTGGGGATAGACGTCTAACAGGAGCTGGAGCGATCAGCCTCTCCCCGGCGGCACACAAGCTGGGAATCCTCGTTCACGGCCCTGGGGTCACCCTGAATCCCGCGCCTTGCGTCCTGAGCTCTGAGCTCAGCCTGCCGACCTCACACACGCCCCACGCCGGACCAGCTGCTGACCAGCATCCCAAAAGGTACCATTTGAAATTTCCTACACTGAGAAGTGCTGATGCGAGAGATATTTAAACATGCTACGAACTAAATGACGGCTGTGCTGTTTTTCCTATTCAGAATCAAGTGGTCAATCTTATTATTATTGTATGCATTTAAATGTGAACAGTGTCACGAATGCTGGAACTGCATCAAAACTAACTGCAGTAAAATAGAAAATAGATATCTGTCGTATTCACACTAATGCAGCACAACTGGCAAAATTATGCCCATGGACTTACTGATGTTTAAGGTAGGCTAGGCTATGATATTTGTCAGGTATACTGTATTAAAATTCATTTTTGCCTTACGAAAGGTTTATCGGAACGTAACCTCATCGTAATCTGTGGAGAGGTTGTATTGTGTTACAGGGCTATAGCCAGAGTTACAACAATCGGACTTAAGTGTTTTAAATGCCATTCATGTTTACACACCTTAGTTCCCGTGTGAAATCAGCCACGCGTGTAAACAGCTGTGCCTCGCTATGCTAGCAACGCGGCAGAAAGGACACATTCATCATGGTCTCTTCTCGCAGAAGACCAGAATACTCCATGGAGTAAGTCTGCCAGACAGTCCTGCCTCAGGTAAACAGATACTCGCGGTATCTTTACACATACCTGTACAGTACCTGAAGTGGTGCTGTGTCAAACTTTAAAAAAACGTAGCAAAGACAGTTCAAGTACAAAGTCGATAATTTTAATATTCAGTGTAAAATACACATTTAGTCTCTTGATACCACGTTCACAGGAAGAGAAAAGCAAATCAGGGTTCTTCAGCACCCTGTGTGTGTGATCAGGAAACCCCTGGTCAGAGCGCGGTACTCCACCAGCGCCTTTCATTAATGTGCTGTTAAAGCATGACTGTCACATTCTGTCCCTTGGAACAGGCATTATATCTCTGACCCAAGACAGTTTTTACTCAGCTTTGACTACGAGGTAACAGGAAGTTTTCCCCAAGGGACATTTCTTAGAAACATCATTTCTAAGAAAGCCTAGTCCATATTCCCCTAGTTTGATTGCTTCCCTCCATCTTAAATCTCCATTTTCACCGTCAAAAATCTGGAGAACACATGCTAACTGAAAATCCCTGCAAAGACGAATGACCTCCATGTCTCTGTAAGCCCCCTTCTGCTGTGTCTGTGAGTGTGTGTCGGATCTCCATTTGCTGTGCAGATTCGCCACTGGAACTACAGTGTCCTTCCACGCTCCAAAGACGTGCTGTTAAGATAACGGGTGCCATTGGATTACCCTGTGGTGTATAACTGTGTGTGTCCTGTGATGGACTGGCATCCCACCCAGGATGTACCCCAGCTTTGTGTCCTGTGCTCCCTGGTACAGGCCCCAAGCCCCAGGCTTCCAGACGGAAACATTAACCAGGAGGTTGGAAGATGATTGGAAAGATGGATAATCTGTATCAATGCTTGTTTCCCAGGCTACTCCAAATAATCTGGAAAATCTGGACATCTACTTTGCACTCAAACAGACAAACCACCAGGTGATGCTTGTCTTAGGGTACTCACTCAAGGAGGCATTTTGTTCTACCAACACATGCAGAAAAATATTTATCTCAAGCCATTAATCAAGAGAGTATCCCTTACTGTACTCCAGGAACTCCACAAAAGCTGACAGGTAACTAAAGAAAGTCAGTAACTTGGCTCTCACCAGTGACAAAGTAAGTGCGCCTAGATCTCAGCTCTTGTAGTGCAACAAGCAGAGCATTGTGCTAACGCCACAGGCTGTGTTCGAATCCCAGGGAGCGTACATAAATTATGACCCTTCCCTCTACTGTAAGCTGCTTTAGATCAAAGCATAAACTAAATACATCAGAGAATAAGCAGTATAGCAAAGTGATTTTAGAATGAAGAACTTAGAGAGATGCACAAAAGTGTTGATAAACAGATGGGACACTTACACAGGCCTGCTAATTATTACAATGAAATGAATCTGTTCTTCATTATAAATATATTTACTTCCTAACCTCCAAATCCACACTCTGACATGTCCTGTTGTCCTTTTTCAAGGCTGGCAACAAATTTATCCAGACTGATGTATATTCAAAACTAATCATTGCTGTGTAAAATGTTATAAATGTCAAAATTCCCACTCGGTCTATATGATGATTTACTGCATTGTAGCATCTAAGATCCAGAGTCCATCTGTCCCTGATTAATGAGCTGAATAAATAAAGGATTTGCTCTCGCTCTCCTAAAATCCTGACAAAAAGCACATGTGTGGCCCCATTCACATCAGGGGAATTCTGGAGAACCTGCGGCTGCAGCGCAGCAGAAGTGGACGTCGTGACCCCTGTCTGACCCCCAGGTAAGCCCTACATGTCATGCAGAGTGAGCACATGGGTCCCATTTGAAGGGCCACATCATTTTACGACCGTTCCAGTCTTTTCCAGCACAAACCCCAAAATCTGCAGCATACAACAGGACAATTTACCCCAATTTAAGTGTAAAGAACAGTAAATCTTCAAACGCAATTTCCACCATAAACATGTACAGCGTGATACAAAAGTAACAGACCTGCACCTGGCTAATGATGAGATCAAAGAGGCTAAATGAGAAGCAGGAGGATGCGCACAGCAGACACACAAGGATTAGGGGCTCCAGCGCGGTAAGTCAGGGCCGGAGCGAATGGCCTCATCACTGCAGCAATGACGGCCTTTGATAGTTCTCCAGAAGTGAGGTGAGAGTAGGTAGAGTGAAGAATGAGGCTCCTGACAACCAGGATCAAACACACAGCAAGAACAGGAAGTGTGACACACTACAGGAAGCGGAGATGAATGCGTGGAGAGGATCGTCATTTTCAGCTGAGAGAGGCGACAGAGCGGGGCAAATATCACGCCTGTATTTGGTCTTTGGGTGGTAAGTGGACAAGATCAAACAAGTCTAATGTAGCACAGGTGAGTTAAAAGCTAAATCA